AAAAAGCTTCTGACAGTTCATGTGAGAAGGAAAAAGAAAATTTAACTGTTTCCATATACTGAGTGGACGCTAAGTATTCAGTGACTGTAATGGATTGATTTCTCCGGCAAACCTTTTTATGTACCTACTTTTACCTGAAATACATGGAAATTGATTCTTCATTTCATCACTTATATTCTATTTTTGACTGTTCTCCTCCAGAAAGAAGTTACTGTCTCTATAATTCTGAGCCTATAACAAAAAGTATGGACAAGGTGTACAAGTAAATATACTGACAAGAGGCTAATTGAAATATTTCTGCATCGTTATGGAACTACATTAATCAAGTCACTAGTATGATTACTTAAAATTAGCCAATAGTCTGTGCTGTTACTGCTGATGTAAACAATGCTTTTAGTTGAAAAAGAAGCCAGTATATGGTGAAATAGATGCATTTTATAGAACTCTCATCATGAGTTGAAGTTTGAAATGGAGTTTACAGTGAGGTCCTATTCCACTGATCATTTCTTTATTTCTAGGCACCTATGTGTCAGCAAATAATGCTTATGTAGCAGGCATCAGGAAGATGTTACTTGACACATACAACCATGTACCACCATTGATATTCCGTATTCATATTCTCTTACCTGAAGAAGAAGTACCCTTCCATAGTGTGAGCAGCAGAGAAGTGATCGCAGTAACAAACGTGACTCGTGAAACAGCATGTATAGTTCTCTGAAACTGTACTTCGATCTGTACATTGGAACTTCCAAACTTAGAATTCTCCATGGAATCGAACAACAGGCTTTTACAGCCAAATCTGTGACAATATGGACCAACCATGTGTTTTGCGCTTTTTAAACATGCAAACAGAACCTCAGTACTCTTATACACTTAATACCATGCAGCCAATATTGTGAGTCTATGAAATTCACCTATCGAGTTTCTGGAGACTTGTTTGCTAATTCTATATCATGCTGGTAAATGTGTCACCTTAGGTGATAAACCAGAGCATGGAATGAAATCCACTTGACACAAGTTCGTGCAGTGTTCCTCTGAAGGGTGCAAATCACCATTATCCCTTTTGAAATCTCTGCTGAATCACACGCTGACTATAGTTAGGATGCGATGAAGGATAAGTTCCACCGAAAACTGTCTAGTCTCCTACTGAAAGCCAAGCGGTCAGATATGATTATCATAGCAAGTGATTTCAATGCATAAGTTATAGGCTAAGCTAGACTGAAAGTCACTAAGGTAGTATTTCCTGAATCGTAGCAGATAATAGTGATTGGCTGTTACAACAGAGCTAAGATACCCACCTCTTTTGGCCAAAACAAATTTCAAACACAGAGACGTTTTCTGATGTGGCATACATTGAACTCAAATCACTAGTGGACACAGACAAACTGCATTGCTATCAGTTATCACTGAAGAGGGTTGGTGAGAGATTACTGTTCCTTCTGGAGTACATGTTTTGACGTTGACCACATTTTGGCTTGAGCAAACATGTCTGCGGTCAAATAGATGCGGAAAAACCTCATCCGCAACACCATTTCGAGGTCATTTCAGTGATAAGTACACGAAGACTGTTTCCTATGAGGAACTTGCTAAACAGTTATCAGAACAGAACAACGCCACTATTCACTGGAAGCCAGGGGTCAACTCCAGTACACTGTAAAAATTCCTTTGCAGACAGTAGCAAGGTGTTATGAAGTGATAAGAGAGGATAAGTGGATATTAGCAGCTTCTGAATTAATAGGTGCACATCCACGCCTTCTTGCAGGCCCCCAGTAAAATGGACAGAGAATGAAATTCAAAAATAGAGTGACAAGTAGTTCATGAACCAGCCATGACGAGTGACTGATAGCAAAGACCTAAGAGAGAGGAGATGCTGCGGCAGTAGGTAACAGTATTCAGTTATTTGGACTGATCATTAGGTCAGAACGATTGGTGGCTTTGTGAAACTATAGAGGAAACGAAATATCCATGATACATTCACACGAGAAGAAACTGGAACAATGAAAGGAATGCTTTGAAGAACCGTTAGGCTGGCCTCCAGTTACTATCAATTTGACCCTCATCCAATCAGATCTTGAATCAAACATCGAAAGAAGTTGATGAAGCTGTAAGTAATCAAAAGCAGGTAATGGCATGGGGGCCAAATAGACTGGTTCGGGAGATACTTAAGCATGGTAGTTAAGGATTATTTTTCAAGTGAAACACTGGCTACTGTTTACCAGTCCTATATAATCCCCTCTGACAGGTCTCGGTCACTGATCGTCGCAGCCTTCAAGAAAGCTAATAAATCTTGTCATAAACAAAATGGGATATGTCTAATGAACATTGTGTCTAAAGTTCCAGGTTTTATAATACCCGAAATTTAAATCAAACCAGGAGCAGCAGTCGTGTGATGACCAGAAGGGCTACAGATGACTATGGGTGTCTTGACCAGTTCTTCACCCAAAACCAGGTTACGGAACTCAGGTGCATCTAAAGATGTAGGTGTAAAACTTGGGCACTGTGGCAGAACTTAATTTCATATTAGATTTGTTTATTTGATTTATAACACACAGTGATCTAGTATTATTTACTTGATGACGTTTTGAGCATAAATGATTGCTCATAATCATACCAGTGCATCTACAGTCACCTGAAACTAGCAGAGTTTCTTGATCTGAAGGTGAAATTTGAATCCGTTGACCATGAGTTTTATGATAGTATCTCTCAGTGAAATGAGAGGGACTGATCTTATCACTACTAAATCCTTAGTTAATCTGAAAGATGACAAAGTCCTACTACGTGGAGACTGTGATAAAATGCATAGTCTTCTGACCAGCGTATTTCAGTTGCGATTCAAAAAATGCTTGAGATGCATTTCTTGTGGCACAAATCCAACATTTTGCTTCAAGACTCCTCTCACTTCTAAGTTGTCTAGCACTAAGACTGAGATAGTTAGGCGCTGAACACTTTACTCATTCAGGAATCCAGACCAGCTTTGGTGTGTCTTTGGCCGACGAAATATAAGCACGAATTCACAAGGCTTACTTGGCTCCCACCAATTTACTGCACTTATGGCTCTGCTGAGATATCTCACTGCTCATTGATGGCTTTAGACTGGACTGTATTTCTCTTTCTTCTTCTTTATGTCTATGGGATATAGGCGATAAAGGCTGGAGACATTAGGTTTTGAGCGTGTAACCACCTTTGTTTTGGTTGCATAGGACATGTTTTGTATTTCATGGTGACAGTAACGAAGAAGTGAGGAGTTGAGTTCAGGGAAGAAAAGGAAAGTCAGTCCATGAGATTGTGAATCGTTATCCACTGAGATGGCTGGGACTCAAATCACGAATACCCAAATTCACAATGCTAAATGGAGTAGGTTTAGGTTTAAAAAAGTTAGGTATGGCTGGAATAGAACATATCATCAGTCCATGAAGTCTTTAACCGCTGATCTAGGCCGTTTAAGAGAATGTTATGCTTCCAGGTCGGTGTCTGCATGATAGCCGAAACCAGTTGTTGATAACTGCAGTTTATATGGTTAAGAATAGATAAAAACGGCGTAGGTGTATCCACATGTTCATGTTAGTCGTCAATGAATTTCATCGTTGTCACATTTATCCTTGTAATCTTTTGATAACTGTATAACACTTCGAATGATTTCTTCTTTTTATTGCATTCTCACTTGTTTTGTTGGTATGGGACTTGATAAATTGGACTATTATGCAGTAACGCCAGGTCTAATGGTGATATAGTTTTTTCTCTCTTTATTTATTAGTCTTATGGAATAATGTAATTGGATATCCCTTGTTGTAAATACATCTCTGAGGTATATCTTTCCGAACGTTCCAAAGAAGTTGCATAAGTGTGACGTCAGCATCCAAAGTCGTGAACCTGCGCCCATCGACTATCGCAATCTACTGAATAATATAGTTGGTTTATTGTCGCACCACCAGTGCAATATAATTGCCGTTGTATACTTACTAGTTAAGTATGAGTGTTGTCAAGTGAATAAATCTATGACGCGCCATTCGTTCTGTTTGATACTTACCATCTTGATATAGATGCACCAGTGCTTGAGTGATGCTGTCCTCAAAAAGACTTGAACTACCAACAATCAAATAACATCTACGGGATATTCCAGGCAATTTCTAGCAATCTAGTCAAGGATTTAACATATTCTAGATGATATCAATTACATCTAGTTAAATAAAATTATTAAGGAAATGCTGCAGGTTATAATATAACTTTTACAGATTCGATCTAATTAACTTTAAATGTTATATCTTTCGGTAAGTTTTATACTATGAAGCAGTTGGACCTAACTTCAACCAGCAACTTTCAGTAATATTTTCGATTAGTTTGATCATAAGTCATCTACACCATTCTATGACGTCTGAACTATTTAAGTGTTTGTGGTTTATACTCCATTGAATTTCATTTTGTTAAGCAGATGTCTTTACTGCTCTTTGTAATGCTCATTCAAAAAATCTATATTTTTGCAGTTAAATAGTGTAATAGACCGCTACAATTGAATAATAGATGAATGTCATATAAAAAACGTTTCTTCGTTGATTCATCAACCTAGAAAATAATACTAAGGCTCTTCAAGTTATGTAGGACACCACCAAATGAATGCTGTTTTACAGTATCCAAATAAATAATCAAATGGATATAACTTTGCTGTTATACTATTTATTTCCTTATTGATCTAAAAACATGCCTTATCAACAAAAATAACCTCTTTGACATAATTGTCAGTAGTTTCTGTGGATTCGCCTCGTTGTACACAAGCAACTGATTCCACAAAGTAAATCAAAGGAAATTGAAATATTTCAGTAAAACAAATGAATGCGTACCAGCTTATTCCAATGAATAATACTTATTTTGTATTTGTTTTTAAAAGTGCCCGAAATAAAATTCCTTTCTCATTAGTTTCTAGATAAATCACTATCAAAAAAGAGATATTCTCAGTCGTAATCCTCATAACTAGACATTATTATTGTTTTTTTTTCAACTTTCAGCTACTTTTGGCTCTACTAAGTGCTGCTGGCTACGACACGGCAAATATGATCCCTGTTAGTGTATTCAGATTTTTACAGTGGTTAGGTAAGTTGTTGAAAGTTACTTTCATTCATTTGTTTCTTCTTCGCTTAATAAACTTTAGTTATCGTTATTTCTAATTTGTCTGGTTATGCCTTTTAGTAGAGTTTATCAGTTGATGATCATTTGTGTTTGCTACTGGTGACAATGTCAGCTACCTGACAGTTTTAAAAAAATAAGAATGAGCATTCACATAACAATCAATTCTCGTTGGGAATGCCACAAGTTAGTGAAAACTAACTTTTAAAATGCTTAGTCTTTCTTAGTTGTGATAACCAAAAACCCATTAATGAGAAATGCTGATCTGTTCCGTGTCAAGAACGGTACCGATAAAGAAAGCAGTGATACTTCAAGACGCATACTTCAAATGTATTTAGGTGACAAGTAATCATCGTACTTAAATACCACTGAATAATTGAAGGAAAAGTTAAATCAATTCAGGGGAATTGCTTATGAACATAAGAGTCAAAGCAAGGTTAAAGTCCTATAAAACTGCTTACTGAAGTCATGTTATTTGGTAGGTGGTATGAAGCGGTTTTCTACTGCTGAGAAACTTTTTAAAGTGGCATTTCAGGAAACATAAGTCTGTTTTATTTTCATGCTTTTTATTATCATTCATATTTTAAAGTAGAGACAATAGAGAACTCAAAAAATGACTCATTATTTTTCAAACTTGTGAACATCATGCTTTATGGCATAAGCTTTGTTAAACGTCGAATACATGCTCTGATTGGTAACTGAAAAGCAACCGATTTCATGTTATCTAGCCTTGAACGATGACAGAATTCCATTGATCATTTTTTCAATGTAGCTACCAAGCTAGAAGCCTCAGCATCATGGTGCACTTTGACAGATGTTTATTGGTTGCAGGTAATTTACTGAAAGCCCTGGACTTATTGTTCGTGCTTGTTATCACCTGCTCATATAGCTCAGTAGTTGCAACTGTGAGTACAGTACTAAGTGATTTGGGTTCGAATGTCAGACGGGTAACAGGCTCCCTCAAGGATGTAGATACACAATGCTGAGAAGTGCCAAAGAGAGCGGTATCGCGGTACCGGATTTCCTGCTGACTATATCAAACCAATTAACATGAAATTACTTATATTAACGGGAAAAAACGAGAAGAGTTTCTGTGGAATAAATGATGAAAACATTTATAGCTAAATTAAGGAGTCGATCTCATTGGTTGTGAAACAAGCACTAGATAATACAGCGCATATAACTATGATTCAAATTACCAAGCAGTTACTTTAAAACCTGGTTCAAATTCGTCTAAACTTAGGATTGAAGGTATGCGTTATTTACCATACAGTTACTGACTCACCAAAAGAACTTATGTCAAATTAGACCCACAGTAGCACTGCATGTACACACTGAATGCCGAGATACATGATGCTTTTGAGCTCTAAGCGAAAAAAATCGATTAATCAAACTTGTGTTTCTTCTTATATTATTTTATTATTAGTCCATTGGGTTCCTAATGGAACATAGGGCTTCACTAGCACGTCTCCATTCCACTCTGTTCTCTGAAATCTTTTCAACCTGGCTCCACGACAGCCCACAAGCTCTCATTTCCTCCTCGCATGATCTCCTCAATGTCACCCTCATCTCGGACGCCCAACTCGTCGCTTCCCATGGGGGTTCCACTCGAGTGCCTGGCTGGCCTGACGCGTGATGTCCCCAGTCGGTCTTCTCAGTGTTTGGCTACAATCCATCTCCACTTCCTTCTTTTGTATATTTGTTGGGTGACAGCTTCTTGGTTGGTTCGTTGTTAGCCAGAGTTCCTTGTTGCTTATTCTTTCTGGCAATCCATCTGAGCTTCAGTATCGAGCCAGCGTAGGCAGTTGTTGATGAATGTCTGTAGTTTGTTGGAAATCTCTTTCGTAACGCACCAAGTCTCTGAACCATACAGAAGCACTGACTTGACGTTTTTGGTGTTGAAAATCCGGATCTTGTTCCATATGCTGATTGCAGACGATCTCCACACTGGTTTCAGGCTAATGAAAGCCTGTCTTCCTTTTCCGATTCTGACTTTGACATCCTCGTCTGTGCCGCCTGTACTTGAAACAGTGCTTCCTAGATACAGGTGAAGGAGGTTAATTCTTTTAAGTTTCTCCTGTAGACGGTGACTGCAGTTTGTTGTTGTTATTGGAGTTGTTGGTGCGGTATCTTCGTCACCTGTATCTTCTCTATATTCGCTTGAAGTCCCGTCTTCCTTGGCTGCCTCTTCTGCCAACTTGTTAGTTTTCGCCTGCAGATCTTCAAGTTTGTGTGACATCAAGAACAAGTCATCGGCGAAATCCAAGTCTTCTAGGTCCTTTTCCTCCGTCCAGCGTATCCCCCTCTTCTCGCTCCCCACTGTTTGCTGAATGATCCAGTCGACCACAATCAGGAATATCATGGGTGATAGTAAGCAACCTTGTTTCATTCCTGTCTTCACTTCACTTCAGTGGCATCACTGAGCTTCCCATTGTGAATTACTTGGCTGGTGGCGTCTTCATATAGTTGTTGAATGAAGCTGATAAAGGTTTGCGGTACTCCGTAGTAGTGAAGCAGTTTCCAAATTACCTCTCGATCGACGCTGTCAAAGGCCTTCTCAAAGTCAATGAAGTTGAGGTAGAGTTGTGTTGACTGCCATTCTATACTCTGTTCCATGATGATACGAAGCGTTGCAATTCGGTCCACACATGATTTGTACTTCCTGAATACAGCCTGCCTGTTCGGGTCGCACTTTTGAATCCAGTGCATCCTTAAGACTCTCTAGGATGATGCGGTATAATATTTTGCTTGCTCTGGGTGGACAGGAGAGTGATTCCGCGCCAGTTCCTGCAAACAATGAGGCCTCCCTTCCTCGGCAGTTTGACAAGGTAACCCTTCTTCCAATCAGTCGGCAGATACCTTCCCTTCCTCTCACACCTTCTGCAATAGCGGTGTGAGCATGTCCGCTGTCATCCTTACGTCTGCTCTCAGTGCTTCTGGTGGGATCCCATCTGGTCCTGCTGCTTCCCCACATTTCAGTAGCTTTATGGCGTTCAGGACTTTCACTTTTGTTGGAGGATTAATGTTCACATGTAGTTCAGCTGCTGTAGGTGGTATTTCTGGACGAAGTGCAGGTGGTGGTCGATTCAAGAGCTTCTTGAAGTGGTCAGCCCATTGTTTCCTCTGTTTCTCTTCTTTCGTAATTGAATTTCCGTCATCATCTTTTATTGGTTTCGTCTGCGTTGATCTCTTCCCTTCCAGCTGGTAATGCTGGTTATTTGATGCAATGTTTTCAGGTCTCTCTTACCATCCGGTAGCCTGTTCTGCTGCACTTGCCAGTGTTTCGTATAAGTGTCTTTTGTCTTTACGTGCGCCCTTCTTCACTTCTTGCCCAGTGTAGTGTCTTATACATTGTACTCAGTTTCTCTTGTCGTTGAGCATCCTTGCACTGGTTTATCTTTCGCTTCACCATCTTCCTCTCCTCTATCAGCTTCCATGTATCCATCGAGATCCATTCCTTAACTTCTTTCTCCTTCCTTCCTCATACGGTTTTGCGGGTTTCTTTTCACACCTCTTCCAAAGACGTCCAGTGCTCATCCACACGGGCTTCTTCAGGGATGTTCCTCGATATCTCCCATTTTGTCTTGATGGCTGCCATGAAGATCTCCTTTGTAGTTTCATCCTTCAGTTTCTGAGTGTTGTACTTGAACTGAGGTCTATCACCAGCTTCCTTGAAGGCTTTTAACTTGATTTGGAAGGTTGCTTGCACTAGACAGTGAGTGGTCTCAACCTACATCTGCTCCTCTTCTTGACCTTGTGTCAAGTAGACTGCGTCTCCATTTTCTTGAGATTGAGTTAAAGTCGATCTGATTTTTAGTGTGTCCTGGTGTCTGGTGAAATCCATGTCGCTTTGTGGATATCCTTGTGCTTGAACACACTGCCTTCAATCACCAAATCGTTGAATGCACAGAATTCTGCAAACAATTCTCCATTCTCGTTCACTTCACTTAGCGCCTCTCGACCCATGGTTAGTTCTCTTCCTGTGTTGTCCCCTCCCAGTTTGGCATTCATGTCGCCCATTAGAATTTCGATATCGCCAACTGACGTCTTGTCCAGTGTTGATTGCAGTTGTCTATAGAATTCCTCCTCCTTCTCTTGCTCTGTATTATTTGTAGGTGCATAGCATTGTATGATTGTGACCTCCCTTCCTTTTGAGTTGAATCTTGCTGTCATGATCCTGGAGGAGCTTGGTTCCCACTGCATAAGAGCCTTCGATGCTGTTGGGGACATCATGATAGCCACTACAAAACTCAGTGTGCTCTTGGTTGTCGTCTGGGTGAGAATGTCGGAGTAGATTATTGATTCTCCAGTTGACAGTTTGGAGAGTCCACTCCCATTCCATCTGCTTTCGCATATTCTAGGCACTTCAGTGTGATACCTCTTCTTCTCGTTTGCAATCTGGGCTGCCCTGCTGGGTTGAAACATCGTGCGGACATTTCATGTTCCCACGTTTACTTTCGCTTTCATCGAGAGTGAGAAGACACATCGGCCAATTGGCTTCCCTTAGGCTTTCACCGACTGGCGTCATTTTGCCTCTCCGATTCCAGCGGGGAATAATTTTGTTATTATTTTTTATATATCGTTTGTGCTTTGAAGTTTCTTTAGCGGTTAGATTTATTTTACGGGGTAGGATTGCTAGCCCTACGCCCAGCCTTCTCTCTTAACCCGGGCTTAGGACCGGTTAGTAACTAGTGAACTAGTCAACCAGGCAAGGTTTCTTCTACTACTTCTCAAAAATGTTTTTTTTAGTACTGTCTTCCATAGAATGGTAATTAACTCTTTACCTCAACTTCATCCACTTTGAAAAGCCTTCGATAGCGTCGATTGAGAAGTAATTTGGCAGGTGCTTCAAAACCACGATTTTAGTGCCACAAGGCTTTACCAATCTCATTCAACGGCTATATGCTGTATGATCCTACTTGCTGAGTGATTCACAATGGAAAGCTCAATGATGCCTTTGAAGTGCAAACAGAAGTAAGATAAGTCACTGTTTACTAACACCGATGATCTACCTGATTGTGGTCAACTGGATCATGCAACAAACAGTGAGGAGCGAGAAGATGGAAATATGCTGTCTGAACCGATGAAAAGACCCTAGAATATTTGAATTTTGCAGCGGTGGTACAGATGAGGTCATCAAAGCCAGGATCGGAAAAGCAAAACAGACGTTCAACAGCCTGAAATCTGTGTGGAGATCTCCTGGATTCCGCTCAACATAAATTGCGAACAAGATTCTAATTTTCAGCACAAAAGTCAGTCAAGTCATTGCTTCTGTGTGATGGCTGAAAGACTTGGCACGTCACGGAAAGCATTTCCAACAAACTATAGACATTCATCAACAGCTGCTGCCACCTACGCTCACTTGATACTGAATATCAGATCAGGAGGCTAGAAACAACAAACAACAAGGAACTCACTCTGACTGGCCTGGCAATGAATCAACCAACAACCATTCCCCCAACAAATATGCAGAAGAAGAGAGTGGAGATGGATTGGATTAGACATACACTGGGAAGACTGATTGAGGACATCACACGCTGGGCCAAGCCCTATATTTCACTAGGAATGCAAGGGACGAACAAGAGTAATAATAATATTATTATCTTTGACAGAAGTTACCTTCTACTCACTTGATCTTAAGTGAACTAAAAATAAATTTTGAAGAGGTCCCTGAATGACCAAAAGATTAATTAATGTGCAAATACTTTTTGTTTATGAAGTGTTATTCATCCGTCTAAGCTAACATGAAATAAACAATGATGACTTAGTTTACATGAATTTTCAAATGAAACTGAGTTGCTTTCAATTATTGATTTAAAATATTTGATACTGTAAATGATATCCCATGTACATTTTTTTCATAACAGTAAATCCCCATGATATACCTAAAATTTATCAACAAACTATGACACAAATTATTTTCGCTGTAAAACGATACTGCATAACATCAATTTTCCCATAATAAAGTTATGAAAACTAATTCTATTATTGTGCTTATCTCTTGTCATAGATTTTAAAGGTTAACGAAACTAATTCTCATTTGAACTATATGAAAAAAATTATTCAACTGTTAACATCTTTCATGCGATAAGACTTGACTGAAATGATTTTGTCATTATGATGTTCATTCATGCTAATAAATCTCAACGGATAGTGTTGTACGAAAACGTTTAAATAAATCAGCTTTTTCAGAAGTTTAAATCTTTCATCACTAACATAGTAGGAATGTCTTCTTGTCCGAATCGTTCACTTACATATGTTTTGAATTATATTCAATCAATAATCTAGTATACTAATAAAACCTAAGTGTTTTTCACTAGTCTATGGCATATTTGTGGCTAATTTATTCCTCAAAAATAAGATATTTAGCAAAGAGGACTCTTTCCAACGAATCTATTCTCAAGATGTACATCAGTGTATATTTGGAAAAAACTCAATACAAATAATGAGAGATTGAAATGACATTAGAGATGTTTATAGTCATGATAATATTACAAGTTGATGATGTAAAGGTTGAATTTAAATAAAAATAGATTAGATAAAGCTTTCGAACCGTTCAAAGTGTGCATATACATTGCAAAAGAGTGAAAAAATAGTTGAATTAATGAACAGTCAAAGAATTAGGTAATGTAAGTGAGATGAAATGAAAATGTTCTACAATAATTTGAAATCATGGGGAAATTAAATCAAATAAAACTGGAAACTAATATATATTAAAATAATAACACTAACAATGAAAATATAAGAGTACAAAGACTCATCTGACAAAAGGGAGAAGTCGACGAAAACAAAGCAATCCAAGATAATACTAAGTTAACGCCAAGGTAGAGCCAATGACTATACGTTCTAGTTATACCCAAAAAGGTAAGGCTTCAGTTCATGAATAGCCAAAATACCTCCTATGTCTACAAGTAGAAGACGAAGATAACGTGAAATGTCTGAGTGAATTAGATAGACAACCATAAAATTATCCTTTAGATAGGTCAAATGGTTGGAATCGGTCAGCTATTCAAGGGTAGAAAAGCTGGTGCATTTATCTTCAATCTTATAAACACACCTTGTAGTATGTTCTTTTACACGTATTGACACCAATATCTGGCTATCATTAAGCCTCTATGTTACCAAATAGCAGCATTAGTATAGTCATAACAATCAACACTATTACTTAAATATGTCGTTATTCTTCACAGATTTCAGTCTTAAAGTATCATATCATATATACATATATACACGTATGTGTATAACTACTGATGTACATACAACCTGAAAATATACCTGCTAGAAAGGACCCTCGTCGATGAATGTCTTGTTTTCGGTGGCTTGATGGGAATTATGAATTAGTTTCTCGCCGATTATTCAAAACGGTCTGTAAACGTTTAAGAACCATACACGAAAGATTCGTTGTTATGACATGTCGATAATAAAAATATTGAAAAATATTTTGCTATTATTGAAATAATACAGTGATGGTGTCTCATTGCGCTTTACTAAGTGAAGGGGAAATGTATACCCACAAAATGTAAACTACATTCGTTGTGCTTTCTGAGTGGCTTTATTTTGAAATTCTTCAAGGAAGCAGAGTTATTTATTCCGAAGGATAGATCAAAGCATACACATTATGTATAAGCTGATCTCATCTCCCCACTTCAAGATATATAGGCATAAAGTTATTCCATGTATCTTGCTGAGTATTAAAAAATTTAAAACCGCTTAGGATTCTGGCGCCTTCTCCAATTTTCGCATCACTGCACTCAAGGATATACTCAGAGAGATGAGCAAACTTCATAATTAATAGACATACAGCAAACTTCATTTAAACTATGACCAGGACCTTGGTGAAAACCGCTGCAAACATTGAATATTGGATGAAGATCTAAAGAAATCAAAGGGTTATAATTTATGAACCCTCAGAGTGTCTGAAATAAAACGAATGTAACTTTCCGTGCAAAAGTCTTGTTTAGGCTTTCTAAGGAAAACCTGATATTTATTTCCATTCCTCTTGACATTACTCTTTCTTGAGACATAATTATCAGTCACTTATCGCAAAATTCCATCTATAGTTTCAGCTGCGTTAGTGTATGCATATCTGCTTGCATGCTTCTAAATTAGAAAAAATATTGCAAAGGATAAGTTCAACAGAGACCACAAAATAATTAAGTGGTTTTATATATATGCATAGGGGCTATATAAAACGGATGTGTACATATTTCAGTGTATCTGGATAAGCTTAAATTACTTTAAATTCTAATATAACTGTAAAAAATGGGTGCTTGTGGAGATCTACTGCTTTGAAGTTGGCTTTCATCACAGATTTTTATTTGTAGGATAACCACTGAAAACTGAGAATAACGGACAGCTTATCGTCTAAGATTGCGAATTCTCAATAGTAGTCATCCACAATCATGCTGAGAGTTCACCGCATTACCACTGAGTGGCACTGGAGAGCCATAGAAATCAAATTTCCCATTTGAAAGTGCCTATTGATTTCTAGTGATTCTTTTGAAATGTAGTCAGCAGACCTGGTTAGTTTTCACTGAGGTCCACCTTGGTGCAGCTTAGATTATCAAAGACAGCTGACAAAAGTACGTTAACTTGGTTTTGAGGTGGTTGGCTCCCATCTGTAAGGCATATCTGGAACTTCAGGAGGACAGCTACCATTTCATAAGTTCGAGCCCACGTCTCCCATTGCTTCAGCTATTCGAGCTATTCAGCACCCAGAACCGGACAAAATAAATTTCGATGCTCTCCAGTGACTAGCCAATATATCTAGTCCATTACAACATGAGTTCACTCATGCCCTTAGTAGCTCAAAGGTAAGGTATCCAACTGCAGCACTGGGTGACATGTTTTGGGATCTTTGAAAACATTTTAGTTCCCTTGAAATTTGAGGTACAACCTGCTTGCAAGTTTCAACAAACAAAAAACCTGGTTACAGGACTTCCTACTGATTTCTTGTAACCTTCTTACAGTAGACAGAACTCGGTACCGTAAAATCGCACGAAGATCGCCGGTTAATCACTTGGTTGAAGTTACCAAGAAATTAGTCACAGCTTTCCCAACATGATACATGAAATAATTAATTCTGATAGAAAACTCCAACTTTAATGGATGATATTTATTGATTATTTTACTATTAGTAACTAGTATCAGTGCTTAAAGATGACAGTGGACGATGAACTTGCTAAAAAGTCTACCTAGAGGCTTTTAAAGTAAATGAAACTTTTAAATCTCAGTAAATCAGCTAAAAATTGTTGGACTTACTTCAAAGCCTAACTGCAATAAGCTAGATCTTCTATGTACTTCAAATTAGATTACACAAAGGAATAAAAATGATGCTGACCGATTGTTCACTGTGACCGAGTTTCACGTTGTTTTCCCGATGATTACTATTATTGATGATGAGTATTCTTATCCTGACTAATTAACTTTCAGTGAAACAGTACAATAGATATTTTGAAACATTTACTGGTATATATTTTTCATTGGAATAGCTGCTTCCTGCTATGCACTAGTTTTGTTTTAAAAGTTCATTCCTGCGATCAACTGATATTTTCTAATTATACTGTTTTATCATATGTTTTTTACAAGGTTATGTGAACAGCTTTTTGAACCCGCTCATATATGCCAAATTTGACAGGGAGTTTCGTGGTCCTTTTAAAATGATACTCCTCTGCCATTGCCGAAATATCAATGCACGATTGCGTGCTGTTCATTATTCCGCACAATATGGTTTACCAAGTGCATCAAACAAACATCAGAGCAGCATAACATCCTCAATGAATGCACGTGATGATTTGCGATCAAGATGGTTTAAACGTTCGACGGATCGTAGATGTGCAAATACAGTCCCCACAAGACCACGCCCAAGACCTCAGACAGTTTCACCAACTTCGAATTTACGAATGCTCAAAGAAACATCATGATCCTTGTAAATAATATGAACATAGTCTACAATACTGAATTTGAAACAATCCACTTAAGGTATCTACGTTAAAAGTTTCAACAAAAAAGAAACATGGTTTGACATTGGTATACCTATAAGTAGGAAACAGACCATTCTACATGAAAAAAATTTGTAATCCTCCCAAAAATGAACCTGAAAATGACTGCCTGTGTTAAGCAGAGTTTAGGTTCATCAACATACAGTACCGTTGCTGAGAATCATCCAATAGCTAAGCAGAAGAGAACAATATGAATCAAATTTCTGTGAGTAACATCGCAGTGACATTTGATTCTTTTCAATTTTGTACATTTATTCACCTGCTTCTCATCCTTTTCTTTTTATATTTTGGTCAAATATTCAGCAAGCAGCACTGAAAATTAAAAAATCAAGTGTTTTTTCTTGAGATGAGTCTTATATCCTGGAAACATAATACGCGAAATCAATACTAACTGTTTTCATTTCCATAAATCAGGTTACCTGAGAATTATAGTCTTAACTTTCATTCGTCATTATTTCCAGATGTAATAATACGATTTTTCTATACTGGAGTTAATTTTAACCGAAATCAGGAAGAATGTATAGAAATAAAAGTAGATAATATTTAGCCCCTGAATACATTATTTTAAAAAAATTTAAAACTGACATTCATTTGACATAAACTATTTGATTAAATTATGCTTCAGCAACTATATTATCACCTGTAACATGATACCATAGTCTATGTTCATTATCTAAAGGCATTTATAGGGTGTCCTTAAATTAATTCAGAATTTTTATCCAAGGAAATCTGTGTTCCCATTTGTTTCACCTAGAAAGTATAGATAAAATGTTTGGAGGCCTTCGTTTACTAAAGGATATTTTAAAAGTCATGAAATCAAACATTCTAAGAAGTACAAAAGTGTCATTTATTCAGTAGTAGAAGATTCGCTATCTTTTCACCCTTCAATTTGGATGCTGAATAAACTTTTGTTAGTGTCAGATGTTTGTCAACACTCATCGGCAAAGTTTATCCGTAATCATGAGGAAACTGCTGTTCCTTCGGTGATATGAATCCACTTCCATCAATGTGGAGGACATTTCCATTTAACTGTTGAAATCGCAACTGATTATCTATCCGAACAAAGCATGTACTCGAATTTTTCATCAGTAGATGACTGATGACACTGTTTGATGCTAATCAAGGTTTATCGATCAAGTATGCACTTTAGCCACCAAGCTAAATGACGTGATACTATGATGCAAAGTGTTTTGATTTAAGATTTTGGATGCTGTTTCGAGCGAAGCTTCGTTATAATGATGACTGCAAATGTTAACTCCTAGTTTAAGAGTTCTTACGTAAAATCCATTCAGGTGTATGCGATACTAATCAGTTGCTAATTCTTCAGTACCACCGCTTATGGTCTGCAGAATATGCTTTGCATAAAATGATTTGCAGCGTTATTAAATTTTTCGAAAATAAACGACTCAAAACTTAAACTACTCTTAGATTCAACTGCCAAAGAATGCATTATTTTACTAAAAATTACAGATTTAAACCATCAGGGGTTTTTTGATGGTGAAATCATTCAATGTGCAACCTGGTTAACAAACAGCACTTTAAACAAACAAATTATTGGAAAAAACATCGGCAGTTTGGATAACCATATGGATACATAAATTGCATTCATACTAATTTAGAAAGATCTTGACCGTGTATTAGCCTCAGATATATGAATTGCTTTTTGCAAACATTTTACTCTGTGCTAAAACTAAAACGGAAACAAATACAGGGAATTTCGGCAATGCGAAAATATTTTGCATTGAAAATTAATCAGCTTCATTTCACCAACAATTTTTTATTGGAACTGTTGTCTATAGGCTTTTCTATTTGAGATTGTCAAATTTTGCATAGTTTCTGTTAGAATTTCTAGCGTATTACATAAATAAATTCTAAGTCTTCCTAGCATGTTACAGAAATGTACTGTCAGTTTTGTGAAAATGTATAACTAATTCTCCAGTCATTAGCCGTTGGCCTCCTAAACCAGGAAAATTTTGGGTGTGTATTTTTCTGATAACATGCTCACGATACTTGAGTAATTTTGTGTCGGCTGTGTTGAATTGTAAAATACGAAACATAAGAGAAACGTTTGCAATTCAAGAACGTTTTGCTTTCAAATGTCGATATCAGTTTCCTCTTTTTACTAAAGTCCAGCAAGATAACCATTTAAGTACTGTGACCGAAATGATTATCTGGATGCCAAGTGTTTTATTATAACAGCTCAATATTCGTCCTAAAAAATTCATGAATTGTAAACAAACTCATATCAATTGACATATCAAAGTTCCACAAGAACATGAGGCTATCTTATTAAAAAACTGACCACATAGCTGATAATCTATAGGTTGAACAACTAATTGATGATAAATTTTGAACACAGAATTATAGCCAACTATTAAAAGATACATAAAAGACGGAGAGTTGACAGGAAACAAAAATCCTTCGAATAAGATATTGGTAAAAATATTTGAAGCACAAGTGTATGTGATAGAAGAATAAATAGGATATTTGAAAAAATAAGCAGAAATGAAGTTATTCCACTTTTATAACCGAAAGTGATAAGTTTTCTACACTAGGTAATTTATGTAGTAAATTTTCCCGTTGCCGACAAATTATTCAAGTCAAAATACTCAGTATCGTGGATAGATTTTTAGAAACAATAAGTTGTGTACGCATTATGGATTAATCAACTCACAGAAGTTTCATGTTCCACTATTTCCTACTACAGACACAAGTCAGCAGCTGAATGATTTTAATCAGCAGTGTTCAGGTTAGTTAGAAATGAAGAAAGTTAGATATTTTGAGAAGAACAGTAAGAAAAAACAGTTTGAAGAAATCGTGGAATAACTGCAGATTAATCAGCATTGAGTGAATTCTTCCTAAAGAACTGGTTTCCATAAATCGGAACCGAAGTGAGGTTTTTTCCATATGAGACATTAATGGTTTCTTTATTGATGTTGATGGACTATATCATTGGTTTTTTACTAAGTGGCATTTTCCTCTGATGACGAAGATATTTCGTCAAGTTTATTCCTACTATATACTCAGTTCTTTTCGCCTTCAATTTGCTTACTTCCACAGAGGCAAACAAATTAATGGATAAAAGTTAAAGTAGTAAAATGTGGATAGCGTTACCAAACATTTCGTTTTTCGTGCCGATGCCAACCAATCTGCGGGTGATCAAATTTTCAATCTCCTTGTTAGCTTCGTCAACAAACCTTTTCTAAGAAAATATGGTGCTATTACTTAAATTTATCTTCATAGTATTTTTAAGATACACTTCATCGAGTATCACCTCGAGATGTACTTACAACAACCTTATTTGTATTTTCGTCTCTCTCTAAAACAGAATTTCTTTTCGGCTGATGGCAGACTAATTGTATCCAGTAATTCTAATGAATTACTGGACGAAAACCGCTAACTTTTAAAATTGTAGTCAACTCCCTGCGTCAAGAGGAGATGCTTTGTCTGACTTCATCAACTTTGAACTATCATGTGAACAACTAGGAAGACTGTAAATGTTTGCTTTCTCAGACGCTTTCGCACAATTTCCATTTTGTGACTAAGTCCGAAATTTAACAGCCCCTTTGCCTGATGGAGTAAGCTGCGCATTACAAGGTTTTCACAGACAGACCTAGAATAACTTATTGGTGTCCAAACCAAGTTAGGATATGGAAAAAACTTTTAATGAAATGTAGCTGTATTGGCTGGCAAGTTTGCTGAAGTTTATTCTCAGGTTTGCAATCAATCTGTCTGTTAATGTGGATCACATGCCTGGCTACTGCTTTAGTTTGTCACTGTTAGAAGTCATGAGTAGTTTGCATGCAAATGAAAGCACTGTTTGACGAAAAATGACAGCATATTCCACCATAGTTTCTCAATTATTTTGCCAAACTTTGCCAAAACAAAAAATTCATGAATTTTCGACGCAGTGAATTACTGTGGAATTCCCGAAGTGGTTGGGAAAATCTGATCCCACTTTATTTAGGATCATGTTAGATATGGGTGGAGATGGATTCTGAAAAGTGCTTTTAAAACTGTTCGCCTATTTTTTAGTTGTTCAATACATTACTCATGAGAAAATACCACTTGTGCGAAAAAGAATGAATAACACTTTTTTACATTTCGTTGACGCAGAATAATACTGAAAGTTCTGGGACCAGATATACTCTTTTTGGCAATATTTATAAAAAATGAACTACGTATTTTGCATAAAAGTGTTTCTCAAGATAGTTAACTGAAAACCAGTGAAATGATTCGGGATCTGAGCTTCGAATCTTTGTTCAAATATTCGGTCCATATAAACTTTCTACAAAATCCCGGTAAACCAGACTTAGAGGAATTATGGTCAGTTATGCTGCATTTTCATATATTGGACGGTGTCTCTAAAAAAGGAATTGATTATTTAAAGAAACTACTGTGGAAAACAAATATTATAACATTTTATTGATTTGTGTTTATAGATGTTGAACATAGTTTTCAAAGGAGATGAAATCACCTCTCCAGTACGAACTAGGGGTCGAACGATAAATATCATGTCTGTCGATTTTCACATATTAGTGCAACCCAGCTGTTGGAAGAAAAATTTATCAACTAGGCGAAGAGGCAGGACATTTTAGAACACAATGTTTAGCATTGCTTGTCAAGAATAAGATGAGAGAAATTAATTTACTCACCTTACGTTTCTCATCGGCAAAGTTAACATGCAATCCTGAGGAAATGCGCAAACCACTACGAGGGTTATGCTTGCGGGAATCTCCGTTTAATATATATTCGGTAACAACTGGAGATCATGGTAATCAGAACTCCTAATCGCACACTGGGTGACATAAGTTACGACCTTCCCAAGATTTCATCTACAGTTTGCTGAAGCTTGCAAAAATTCTAAATCCTTATACTCGTCAATGATAAATCACATGTTCTGACATCAGTTGGCATTTTCT